GGCCTATATATACACCTCTATCTTGAAAGAAATAATGAGATATTGTGTGCAGTATTAACACAATACTAATTCACGTGCTTTGAAGTTGAGGCGTTCAGTCTTCGTACACCTTTTCATCAAATGCTATTCCAATCTCAGGCATAGTCAAGTTACAATATTATGCATTAGACGCCGTATATTTCAGGTATACATACTGCGTTTTAATCAGTAATAACAGTGCTGCGTGGTACCGATGTTTCAATACGCTTCATAAATTAATAGCCATATTCTACTCTATACATTTTAATTGACTGGGGTACCGGTATTGAATAGATTAATAATTGAATTCCACTGTACCGTACCTATATTAATCATAATATATACAAATATAGACATAAATGTTAAGCTTGTATTGCTTTACTAAATTCGTTTTTAGGGGGTTTTTTTTGTTTTTTTGTTTTTTTTTTAAGATGTCTGTAGTAAAATGTAAAACAATGAATACCTAAAAAAAATAAATTGTCTGTTTAAAAGAATAAAATAATTTATTAACTTCCAATAAATACAATCATAATAAATCAATTTTTACTATTTTACTACAATAGGCATGTCCTTTAAAGCCAGTACTTAGCGCCAGACGGTCGTATGTCGACGCGATTATATATAAAGAACTCAACGCCATCGGCGCGCGCAACGGATCGTCTTTAATGACGATCCGTTCAGACGCACCACCGATCGTCTCAGTGCTCAGAGGGAGCGGAGTTTTTCGTAGACGACCGTCGTACAACGCAGTGAGTGTCCAGTTTAAGTCTCAATAAATTGATTACCAGTCAATACCAGGGGGTGGGTATCAAGGAACCTTTAATTATTATGTAGGCCTATATCCCTTAAGTGGTACACAGAGAATCGTTTTCATCAAACTTTCAATTGAGTACCGGTATCGGATTTCATTTTTTTTAAATTTTAACATGGTGGTTAGCCTGTGACCTTCTTGAATAGATTTTGTTTTTTTGTTTTCTCTACAGCGCATAGAGACCATGTATTATACTAATACTTACTAATATTAAAAAATTTTAAACTTTACCTCCATGCTCTTGACATTAAACTGCCTTAACCGTAGGCTATTCAATGAGTTTCGTGCTGTCCAGACGTGTTTTACAAATTGACTTTGCAAGTAAACCAAACTAAAAGTTAATAGTCTCGGGTGCTCACGTGAATTCGTAATTTTAGGTTTATGAAAATATGCCTACTCTACTATTTAGTACGGTTTAAAACCGCGCGCCATTCAACTTGAATAAATTATGAACTTCCCGCTAGAAAAAATTAGGCCCTCTATAGATAAATTGTGTTCGAAATACTCCAACACAAACAATCGTACAACTATGGCGGCAGGTTCGCGGAAAAAGTGTTCGCTCTACTAATTCACAGAAAACCAGGCATTAGCAATTATCTTATCTTATTCGTGGAATTTTTAGATGAAGGACAAGAGTACGAAAACGGCTAACTTATTTTGTGGTTGTTCATGGGAGGCTGGATCTCCGTTGTCTGTATAACCATGTGGAAATCAATCCTAACTGGCCCTGTTCGATGGCTGAAGAAGAAAACCTTTCGCAGCAATGGAGATGACTCGCCTCCGCCGCATAAAGACCAGCACAGCAAATCAGTCGCTAGAGCGAAGGCCAACCCATTTGTGAGGAAAAGAAGAAGGTTTGTCTGTTTAGAAATATCTTGTTGTCGCTAATAGAATCGCCAATAGCATTTATATCAACATATGTAATGGAATACCTTTATTGAGGAGCTGTTTACATACTAGGCCTATCCATTCCTATAATATATCTAGGCCTAGGCCTAACTAGCTTTAGGCCTAGCTAGCATAGAGCCAGGCCTAGGATTGGCCTAGGCCCCTTCGTTGCTAGCTAAGGAAAAGGATTTAGGATAAGAAGGCCCTCAATAGCTAGGCCTAACCGCTAACCCCTAGCCGAGGGGGGTCTTACTAATGAGGCAATACAAGGTAGCCTAGCTACTGTAGGCCCTAGTCTACTGTAATCTAATTGCTGCGAATGCCATTTCAGCCGTGGACCAGTTAGGCCGCACTGTATTTTTATCCAGAAAATCTGGAAAAGAGTTTGTCTTTAATAATAATAATATAATATACAATATACTTACTTTACAAATAAATAGCTTATAATTATATCAGACACAGAACCTGTTTGGTATTCATTTTATACATTTATTAAACTTTTGATTCTTGTCTTCTTTTTATTCATTGTTTTCTTTTTATCATAAAAAAAAAGAGACATGCTATTCCATTAGAAATAATTAAGAAACTGCCAAAAATTGTGTGAAATTCAATTTGCTGCCGCAGCCACAAGGATTCCGATGAAATTTTTTGTGTTAGGAGAAATAATGAGAATTGATTATTGCCCTACCTGACTGATTTAGGAACGTACTGAGCATTCAGTACTACTATAACATGTCAGGTAGGGCAAACATCTATTTGTGCCATAAGGATTCTGATAAAATTAAAGGTTTATTGTAGTGCAGATAATTGGCAAGTGTAGTTTGAGGTTTCACTTCTGATTTTAACTATCAGTGTTTGGTATATTTGTAAAAACGATGATGTAAATAGAATAAATTCAGTTTTATAATTGATTTATTTTTTATGACACATCAGATTATTTTTACCTGACAATGCCATGTGAGTCCAGCAAATCCTTTCTTCTGATTGGCTAACCACTAAGGACAGCTGTCATGTATTTAGAGCTCTTTGAAGAAAGTGAAACATCATAGCCACTGTTGTATTTATACTGTATCGCAAAGCACTTCAAAGACTTATTTACACAAATATCATTTTTTTAAATATATATCTTTGAATGGAAGATCTTTGTAACCTCATATTATTGTATCGCTTGATGAAAGGTACAGTTTAAATTTCTATATTATCTTTCCCCTAACACTTCATAATCTCTGATGTTCACGCAGGACTAATATAAAAGGAATGGTAATATATATGAAAATTTAAAAAACTTATTTCTTGTCATTGTACAGTACCGCCAGGAAATATTGCAATTTTACCTGCGCGCAGGCTTCGTAGATACATCGTAGCCTGAAAAACAATCTAAGCAAGGCTATGCGAAGTGAACCTACGAAGCAAAAGCATGGTTTTTTTTTGTATGTGCAGAAAGACTGTTGTAGCTTACTGGAATAAACAATGTATTGCTTGATAATTTGTGAATGACAAGCACAAGTTTAGACCGTTAATTTAAAGTATGGAGCTGTTTTTCAATAAGAAAAACGTACACTTGACTTCATGGGAGTTGTCCACAACAGGAATTTGTTTGTACTGCTGTATTATTTTTTTAATTAATTAAACTAGGCCTAGCTTATTTTTTATTTACAATTATTTTACCTCTTTTAAATGTCAAAAAGTGATGTCCTCAATGACAATACAGACATTTGAAAAGATTTTTCATCAAATAATACTTTGTAGTCTTGATTTAGTAAGATAAATAATAAATATAAAGGAGAATTAACGTCCGTTGGTTGTAAAATTACCGAATATCACATGGAAAACCTAATGGAAAATAAAACTTAGCCAGCATCAGACGTCAGAGTGCGCGCCAATCAGAACACAGTAAAGTGTGTTAAAGGTTAACCTCGTGGCAAATTTGGAAAAGCTGTGAGCGACAGTGAGTAAAAAGCAAAGTAAATGCGGTCTAGCATGACTAGCCTTAATTCGCCAAGGTAGTGAATTTTATACTTCCATTTAGTATTGGATCGCTTTGCTTTCAAATTATGGTAAACAATAAACAACGTGACCTGTACAAATCGTAATAATTTGTACATGATTTGTCATCAGTATTATTATTTAAAAGAAGAAAATTTCTACTACCAGAACAATAATATCAGATCAAAATTCTCCGAATTCGAAAGTTTACCAGTATTACTGTCTGCTCTCCTCCTCTATAGGGGAAAATATAGGCCGTACGTAGACCAAATGTCATCGAAATTTGAACATACTGAATGCCCACTAGGTTACCTAGCTAGCGAACTAAACACAGTTATAAAACATGATCGATCTAATAATAAGGTGGGATATAACAAAACAATAAAGTTCTAACATTGTGTATTAGTAAATTGGAACATTGCTCATGTGTTGAAAGCTGGTAAACTATATTTCAATATTGTTTACGCATTGTTTATCAGCCCGACGATCCAGCCTACGATCATTGCAAAGCTAATTAAAATAACAATGACCTTCGTAGTGGTTCGTAGCTACATTAAAACGTACCTACGAGCAGATTACGAGAGGTTACGCGCAGATACGAAGCGATAATTTGTGTCTGTACTGTATGTAACACACACAGTTACAGTACAGTAGGTGTATGCCAGTTGTCAAGATATTGTCAGGACTATGGGTGAAGAATTGGGTTCTCACACCCCCAGCAGCAACCAGAAAGTATCCAACCTAGTGTAAAATCAACTAGACACAGTAGGACTGTTAAAAAAAATCATAAACCTTTAGAACTTTTATGGGGTGTACACCTCTCAACCCAATAGTATGTAGTAGGTAAGAAAACACCTGCCAACCCTCACTCCAACCTTATTTCTAGATTGGAACTTCGTGTCCCCTTCCTCTACAACATCATCCACACACAGCAGCTAGACAACCGTAGATAAATATTGTTTATCAGGATTTCTTGCCGCATTGCATCATGATAGCGTAAAAAACAATACGTACTGTAGGCGACTCAAAAACAGGAGAAAATTTTTTTTTTATGCTACAGTATGTATTTGGTCTTGAAGAAATACTGTAGAATTTATAATTACTGTAACCACACACTTAATCCTCTTCTGATCACTAACATCTTCATGTGATTAATTCCAAAGTCAGATATCGATGCAGCAGAATGAATGTTTTTACGATTGTTTACTGATAGTTCCTGTTGAGCATGCGTACCTACTGTTTATAGTTTTAGAACCACCACATTATCTCCACATGATAAATTAATGGTATCAATATTGCAGGATAAATATGTACTTAAATACAATGTTTGTCTTATCTTAAGATAAAAATAAAATTGTCAAAAATTAATATTGCTTACTTTGTATATTTAAATAAGTTATTAGCTTTTAGTAACTAACAAAATTGAAAAAGTATACTTATACTGTATTTTATACTGTGTTTTATATGATCAGTAGACCAATATTGGCGACTTGTCATCAGTTTAATGAATATTAATACTATAATAAAATAATAAGGTTACAGCGCTCACATATCTATTTTAAAGAAATACTCAAGGCGCTTACAAGACATTAATGCATTTAATAATACCAAAAATATCACACTAGAAATAAAGTTGAATTAACTATAAATATATTTTTTTGAAGATTAGCGACAGCTATACAGTACCGTCAGCAAGCCATAAATCACAAACACGGAATTATTTTAAGCTATGTATCAACTATCATTGAAACTTTATAACTGATTTTATCTTTTTAAATGAGATATTAAATTGTTTTTGTTTTTAAATACATGTAGATTATAATAGATGATATTTTTAGACTGGTTTTTTTTTTTTTTTTTTTTTTTTTTTTTGGATAAAGACTGTTTTGATTTTTTTTTTCTGTGTAATCTTTGTTTCAGCATATGTTTTTATTTAATGTGTTGAATCACCATCATCTCAACAAGATTAATTCCAATTTTGGAGTAGATATAAATATAGAGCAGAAGAAAATGATGTCCTTAAAATCGGACAATCGAATAAAGGTTGCATAGATTCGTAAACATGCCAAGGTCGCGTTGATCATTTTTCATGTCGTTTGACTGCGCAGTTCATTAGAGAACCTTCATATTTAATCACATGAATTCCATTATCACATCGCTGTTGATTCAATCTTTATTATTTAAGCAAGCAAGTCTATACCTTTGTTTGTGACAGTGTTTGGGAACCTATGGGGAATATGGTTAATAGTAGTATGGCGTGATTAGTAGCCATGAAAATGAAAATGAGCCCTGTAAAGGTGAAAGGAGTAATGATTTATACTGTAAGAGGATTGCATGTTAAGACATAGAGATTCTCAAATAATGTGCTGAATAAGTCCAATACAGTATATCTGTTAACCAGCATTTCTATAGTATGAGCAATAAAACTGAATATTTAATATAGCTCCAGACATACTGTTGTTTGTTTTTTTACTGCCCAGAGTATACCATTTAAAAAAAATTAAAATGTATCAGTTCTCTCAAATGAATGAATTATATCTTAATTTTAATGAAAAAGATATGAACTTTATTGAGCAACAAGTTTGCAGATAATTTGTCTCATAGTTCATAATTTTTTGTTTTCCTCCTATACAGTAGAGATGGCAGACAAACAAAGCCATGTTTACAGTACCATACTAAACAATTACAGAGTAAAAAACAATGTCATCAAAACCTAAACAACTTTAGTAGTCTGGTTATTGAGCCTGGAAAAAATATTTGTGCATCTGAGCATGAAAGTTGTGTGGATAAAATGTTTCCAGCGCCAAATGTCATCTGTAAACTATATATATATCCCAACAATTTATTCAAGCAATTTTTTTTTTTTTTGTGTTGCATCCGACTGCCAGTCACATACTTTTTCCAGCCCTGCCTGTCTTTGAGTCCCATTTGAACTTTAGTATGTTCTAGGCAAATTATAAAAGTATATAAAAAGACAACG